GAGCGAAGTGCTCTAATAGGGTGATATAGTACTACAAGGTCATTAAGATAAGATGGGGCCTGATTATTTAAGACTTGTATGTGAGGAGCAGGATTTTGAATTCAATTCTGGATTTCACCAAAGCGCTTGCTCAGAGGTGGTTGTCTGACCGCATTAATGTTCATCATTCTTTCAAAGATGATTTTTTTTTATCTTTGAGCCCCAACATAGCTCTCCTCTTTCTCTAATTTGGCGCCACTGAAGACAAGTTCAGCCATCAGGCGCGTCCTTTAGTAAAACCACTTTCACTTTATGAAACAATCATATGACTTGTCAGCTTTTTATCAGCAGATTTTCCCTCCTCTGTGACGCAGTTCTGTGTTGCCACTTAAACGGAGCTTGTAACCACTGTAACCTTTAGATTGGAGTTGAGCAGAAGAATAAAGGCTCAGCTCCAATAAAGGCTAAACACAGAGCTGTGTTACTGCGTGGGAAAAACATACATTTTTCTTAATATCTCATGATGAGCATGGCACAGTGCCTCACTGTAAAAAAACAAACAAAAACATGTGCTTTCAGTAATAACTAAGAATATGAACAATTTATGCATAAACTATCATTTAATGAAGATTTTAAAGCAAATCTCAAAAGCTGATTTCAAGTTGCATTCCAAACATTTGGCTCAGGGAGTTCAGAGGTTGACAGTTACTCGTTTTTCCCTTTATTAATTTCTATTCTCAACTTGTTTTTGTGATGACTGTGACAGTCCCCAGGACACATTTCAGGAAAAAAAGAAAAAAGAAAACAGCCTTACAATCGCTTTTGGATGTAAAAGTTCAGACTTATAAATAATGCATGACTCTGCAGAGCCATCCTCACATTTCATGACAATGAAAACGCTTCAGGCAGTCCAGAATCTGGGCTGTTTAGTCTGTGACTTCAGGCGAGGAAGTCTCACACCACAGCAGGGCTGAATTTCATGTGAATGTCTAGACCAAGAGTTATTCTCTTTTTCTTTAACACCACATCTCTGTAGTTTGTGGGCTGCCTGATAAATCCGTCCAATAAAACTGTAAAATATCACAGTTTGATTTATTTAAAATACATGAATTATTTATTCAATTTCTATGAAACTAATAAATACTAAAGCTAACAAATACCGCTACAATATTT